CATTCCTGAAATGCCTCTCTGAACATTGTGAAATCCCCAAGGAAAACAGACCACCCACTCCCTGTGTGTCACCCACTGTCCCCCCTGAGCAGCTTCCTCACTGTTTGGAGGCTCTACCTTCGATGAAAGAACAATATATACAACAGTGGTGAATGCAAGAAAGATGCTGACGATAGTAAATAGGATTTCATATGAAATCCTTCATACGAATCAAATTCAATGATTGATGATGAATCAATGAATCAAATTCAATCATTCAAATATCAATCAAATTCATACAAAATCCTATTTACCATAATCTATTTAGAGACCGTTTTCATCATGTCCCCGGTGATACTACAAGTTCTATAGCCAATTTTTAATGCCTAGTTAATTTTCACCTGCCCTGTAGTCTTCAGGACAGTTTCCACATTAGTTAAAATATGTGCATTGACATTGTGTCAGAGGGGCTCAGCTCCTGCTCTTCGTTTGCTTTGGCTTTTCAGTGAGCTCTCGTCGTAGAGAAGCTCAGAGTTGTCAGATCAGCAGGCCTGCAGCTCATGAAAGGCGTCACTTCAGGAGCGGATTAGGACATGACAGAGAGGGATGAAGAAATGAGAGGCAACACCAGAGGCTCTGAGTACAAAGGGAAGTGCAGAGGCTGTCTGATGTGATTGTTCTGAGGCAGTCTTTGAACAGGGCTCGTTTGGGGCGAACGCCTCGGAGAACACATAAACACGAATGCCCCTGTACATCCAGATACACACACATACATACAGAAAGAGAGAGTAAGCTAAAACCTCTCTCTTTCCTCCTCTGACAGATAATGAACACATCTATATGGAGTTGGACCAGAAACTATCCAAATACTGCCCCAAAGAATGGAAGAGAGAAGCCAGCAAGGTAAGAAATGAGGTGCAGGATTATTGGCTTTCCATCAGAGGTTTGATGCTGAGCAGAGGGCTGCGAGTCTACATTTCAAAGCTTCACAGATAACATTTAAATTACATAACTTAACAGCCTAAGTTACACACTTGGATCTAATAGATCCTCTGCCTGAGTTTCCTGGGAAAAAAAGATTATTCATCCAACTAAATTTCAGCTTCAGCAAGATGTGGTTCTCCGCCAACAAGATGTGGACATTTTAACTCTCCTCAAATGCCTAGTCTCTATTTTGAACATATAAATTGCAGGTAACTTTGCATATTTGACTGCAGAATATGTCAAATTAAATAATTTCCTTGTTTCTTTATGTTTTGGCTAAACAAACGGTTCATGCTTTGGGAAATAGCCTTATTCAATGTCTCTTAGTCAGTGTCTCTGACTGTAGTAGATGATACCAGATGCAGTTGATGACAGGCTTTGGTCTCTACAGACTTGATGATGGTACCACACACTTACCACCACCTCACTGGAACGACAACACACTAGGAGGTCACAGCATCTGGCTGTTGTTCACCAAGAATGGTGAATGTCAGTAAAACCACAAATGATTATTTTTACTTTTTTCTTTGTGTGTGGCTTAGACAAATAATGTGTTAACTAATTTGCTGGTGTCTGAAGGCATGTTTTTAAACTAGCCTTCCAGGTTTTACGCTAAGATAAGATAAGCTAAGATAATCCCTTTCTGGCTCCAGTTCCACTGTTATGATCTTCTCTCTCTGTTCTTTCAGAGCAACATGACAACACATCTTTCCCAAAATGTTAAACTATTTCTTTAATGCCTCATAGCTGAAATAATTTTGCTGTTTTACTGTTGCGTTTGCAAACATTAGTGATGTAAACAAACCATGGACTGCATCAAAATATTTAAATGACTTTATCTAGTTTGTCGTGATTTCACTGTATCACCACAGTGTGGGTCAGTGAAGGTGCTGAGGAGACGATCTTTTTAACATTTTAATCACAGACTGTCCCTTTAACGGGAGCTGAAAATCACTGGAACTCCAAGTTATCACCATGGGATGTTTTTCTTTGTTGTACCTTTGATAGTCTCAAATATAAACTGACGTCACAAACACAGGTGTGCTGTGTTTGCTTATATCATCTTATAACATCTGAGACATGAATATTTTATAGCAGTTTGCTCTTTCAAGCTGAAGACAGAGTCATAGCTGTACGTTAAAAACTACTCGTCTAACATTTGTCACTATACACTTCACCTAACTATTACTTAGGTCGCCTGATAAAACTGACACTACATTTGCCTGTTGTAGACAGATTTCCACTTGTGTTTTCCAGGGCATCGACCAGTTCGGACCTCCAGTGATCATTCACTTCAGAGTTCAGTATTACGTTGAGAATGGGAGACTGATCAGGTAAGTACACCCCCTCGAATGTACGCAACTTAAAGACACGTGTAATATTACATGCCTGTACAGACTGCTCTGACATCACTCAGTTTAGCATCAGCCCACCTATCTGTCTGCCCTGCAGTGACCGCGCAGCCAGGTACTACTACTACTGGCACTTGAGGAAACAGGTGCTGCTCTCTCAGTGCGTCCAAAGGGAGGAGGCCTACTTCCTCCTGGCCACCTTCGCCCTACAGGCCGACCTCGGCAACTTCAAACGCAACAAGCACTTTGGGAAGTACTTTGAACCCGAAGCCTACTTCCCCCCGTGGGTGAGTGTGTCTAACATGTCCTGTCAAACTTATTAGAGAAGAAGATGTGGCTTCTGGTGGAAACATACAAGAACCTTTAAAATAATGTGAAATGTGAGTAATACAGTAAACACTTGGCTGTTTTAGACTGTTAAATCCCTCTGTGGCACGTCTGTCTGATATTCCAGTGAGTCAACTTTGTAAAACATCAGTGACTTAAATAGGTCTAAGCTGCAGAAGACCAAAAATAAAGTACTGCATCTCTGTGTGAGAAGCTGAAATATACAGCCATGTTTGTTTATTTCACAGCCGAGTTAGGCTGTCAGGCTGTGTTCAGTGTCCTGGCCTGCTGTGTTTACAGGGTCTGTAGCCACCTTCCATTAATTTCACTGACCAAACACTTAATGACAGCTCCACATCTGAGCATGTGGGATAATGAGAACTGGGGCGCCATGTTTATTTTTGTCACTGGAAGTGGCACACATGCTGTGTTTTTTTTTTTTAAATCTTGAGACATGCTTGAGCTGGCATGACTATTCTGGCCACACTCCCATCCCCCACCCCCACCCCAAACCAGTGCCACCTCACTGGCTAGGACAGCCACACCCATCTGATTGCCCTTCACTTCTTGTGATTAGCCTCCTGCCTCCTTATCCCCATTCGAAACCAGCGGTGACAGGAAATTATTTGATGATGAGCGCTGCCCTACAGTAAATCTGCCACATATTTAGGTGCTTAGAAAGCTTATTTACAAAGTCTTCAAATAGCACGTTCAAAGTTAAGTGAGTGCATCTTCACTTCCTGCCTCTGGCTGTGTTTCAGTCTCTCCACAGTGACATCTGTTTGCCCTGTGGCAGGCAGCTTCGTTACCTTCACTGGCAAACTTTGCTGCCAATCTGCTGTAATGAGCCTGTACAACTTCAGGGCAGCCACGTCTGACGTTTCCCTCTCTCTACCCGCTCAGGTGATAGCCAAGCGTGGCCGTGAATACATCCTGAGGCATATCCCAAACATGCACAAAGACCAGTTTGCTCTCACGGCTTCAGAGGCGCACCTCAAATACATTAAGGAGTGTGCCCAGCTTGATGACGTCACTGTCCACTATTATAGACTTTACAAGGTGAGAGGTGGAAATGATGTGTTCAGTACCTACCTCTTGTATTAATAAATGTTTCTACACAGATGGCATTACTGTTTCTATCCAAAATGGCGAATGTGCAGTACTGCCTTCCAGAATCTGATCTTTTGGTGTTTGGCTAAGTGAGCAGTTAATGCACTGATTTCAGGTTGCTATGATTTAACTCAATCTTCTTATCTATGATCTGTTTCAACAGGACAAGAAGGAAGTAGAGGCATCTCTTACATTGGGACTGACTTTACGTGGGATCCAAATATTCCAGGTACACTTTCTTATTTAAATTAAGCCTGTGAATAACACAGATTTTAAGATTGTCCCTTAGATTCCTTGAGACGTCGAGACGTTGAGACTGATTACAGTTTACTACTTTGCTTCCCACATTACTTTTACCTAACTTCTGCATGACAAAATGACTCCTGAAAGTCTTAAGATGTGACTGCATTGACAGTGGCTGTACACAGTGTTAGCCATCGCCTGGCGCTGTACTGACTGCCGTTCTGCTGTTTACCAGTATTATAACCCACTGTGGCACGTGTCTGTGATCCTGTGTTACAGAACGTTGGCTCTGTGAGGCAACTGTTGTACGACTTCCCCTGGACCAATGTCGGGAAACTGGTGTTTGTGGTGAGTCAGAACTTTTTTCTTCAGGGCACATAGCTCAGAGGAACTTTATTTATTTAACTTCTTCCATTGATGTTGAAACCCAGAGATCACCTGGCTTATGCCACCCTTTGTGAAAACTTAACTCCTGCTTGAGATTGTGGAAAGTTTTACACAAGACCTTGTTTTTTTTCTTCACACTGCTGTTTTATCTTAGCCTGGAACTAATCAGGGATTTAGAAAGACTTTCCTCGCATGTGTACGCGTGCACACACATACGCAGTATACTATAGGAAAATTTCCAAGTAATCAGCAGCAGTATTTTCATTGATATTTTCTCTCATTCTTTCATCTGTTTTATCAATTATCATCGGTTTCCCTGTGCCCCCGTTAAATCTTCCCATCTCGACTCTGAGTCATCCTGTCATTAAGCTGAGCACAGCAGCTGGTTAATTTGCTTCCATAGGGTTCCTGTTATCACAGGAAGGCAGAGAAGCCTTCTATATATCTGTTTGATTCTGATGTCTTCGTGTTTTCTGCCAGTTGGCTGTTAATCTCAATTAAGGGAGGCCATCGATGCTCAACACTGCTGTTGCACAAAATTAAGGTCCTTGTGATTCTTCTTTGTTTTTATACAGCTGAATAGATTTTACAGGGAGGTTTCATGATTGTAAACGGCTTCTGAGAAACTTGAGTTTTCCCAGAAAGTTGAAGGGTTCAGTCCAAGAGCAAATTTAGCTTTGGCCATATTTTGGCGCAAACAACTAACTGTTGCATCTGCCACACATTTCACAGTAAACACATCCTGTTTTCCTCATTCCTGTTGTTTTTTGGTGGTTTCCTTGCGAATACTATCTGCAGCGTCGTGAGAGTGAAATGCGGGTGGCGTGGCTGTGGTTTTGCTGTGGATGTGAGCGGCCTGTCATGGTCCTGTTCCACCCTTCTCCTGAATAACAGACTTTCTCCTCTACCCCACCCATGGGTCACATCATCCAACACTGCTGCCACCACGTCTGCAGCCACTGCCAAATGAGCCAAAGAACGAAGTAGGACGGACGGACGTGTTGGTCTATAGACACCAGATGTTGTGATGGTTTCAGGGGGATTTTGGATTCAGGCTTTTTGGCCAGGATGATTTATCTCATCAAGGTTTTAAGGAAGGACGAGCATGATTTCTGCTTGGTATTTGGAAAGGGTGGGATTCAGTGTTTCTGATGCACTAAGAGGAAACAAAGTTTACTTCTCTTAAGCTTGTGATAGTTTGATCACTGCTCCCTGTGAAGGCTGATATGAAGTCATCACCCTCAAGTCCAGTGCTGTTGGATTTTAGACCGACTTTAGCTGCTGACTCACTGGTATTCTGGTTGATGCTGGTCTTATTGAGGGGTTGTTGGATTAAACATCCCCTTAGAGATGCCAGGAATTTTCGATGTGTGTGGTCTGTTATTGAAAGGAGACAAATTCTGTCCTTCTATAATGTGCAGAGAGTTCAGATGGACAAACCATATATATTGCATGAAACTAGAAATGCCCTGAACACTTTTTAACACCAGGCTGCTGCCGCTGTGTGTATTTAATCTGGAATCGAGTTACCACCGGCAGGGAAGCCATTCATTCAGAATGTTTTTTTTAATTATATTTGCTTTTATTAAAACTTCTGCATGAATGGATGGATGATGGGAAAGATAACTATCCGCAGAGCTGGTTGTGTATGGTTTAAAAATACTGTGCATTGACAGTATAACACTATAATGATAACATTTGGGTTTTAATTATCTTGAATACTGGATTTTGGCTGGTGTGAGCCAGCCATGTTTGTTTACACTGGCACCTCCTTCTCTTCATTTGTACACAGATGTTTACTTTGAACATACAGGCAAACAAACCAGTTTCTAAATGCAGAAAACTGGTATAAAACCAGTTCCAGAACAGGGGCCTGGTGGCCTAGGTGTTTAGGCATTGGCCATGCACCACGTTGTCCTTCGTTTGTGTTGGGTCAGAGATCTTTGTCGCATATCTTTCCTTATTTCTTTATTTCCTCACTTCCTGTCACTTTTCTGCCATGCAATAAAGACACAACATGCACAACATAAAGATTGAAAGAGAGAACTATCCTAGAACATGTTTAGTATCACTCAGAAAATGGCAAATTGTGGCATTTCTGAGTGGCCTAACTTACCCTGAAAATAACAATGTACACAATGTTCAGCTAAGACATGTAGCCTGTAAATATAGCGAGCAAAAACATCTTAGAGCTCACAGGTTTAAAATATAAAATACAACTGTAATGCAACTGTATCCTGTGCTGATTCACTCAGTTTGACTCATTCACACCTGGCTGCTGCCCAGTACGGTTTCAGTGTTTCACTGGTGGCTGGGAGGAGCCGCAGAGGGACAGTTTGTTGAGGTTAAAGACAAATACTCAGTTTTAGGGATAAGAGAAATTTTCCTTAAGTTTTTCTGCCAGTCCAGCAAATCATGCAGTGTCCAGGATGCAGAGAAAACCTTTTTTTGTTTTATAG